CACTGGTCTGCTTTCTATCACTATAAATTAGATCTATCTGTTCTGTCACAGAAATGGAATAATACAGTACATTATATGTTCGTTTCTGGCTGGCTCCTTTTGCATAACGAAGTTTTACGATTCATCCATATTATTGCAAGGATCAGCGGTTTTTTAAAATTGCTGATAGGATACCATTTTATGGATGTAACATAATTTGGTTACCTAGTCACTTAGAGATGGACAATTAGGGTGTTTCCAGTTTGAAGCTATCATGAAAAAGCAGCCATGAATAGTCTGTACATGTCTTTTTGTGAACATGTTTTCATTTGTCCTAGGTATGGCCCTTAGAATGGGTCACATGGTAAATGTATGCTTAATTTTATAAAACATCAAACTGTTTTCCAAAGTGGTTGTCCATTTTTGCATCCCCCCCCCCCACCTCCCGCCAGCAATGCACGAGAACTCCAGTGTCCGAAAACATTTAGCCATCAGTGTCAACCTAATGGGTGTGTAGTGGTATTGTTACCAAACACAAAGGGTTCACTGCTTGAAATGTTCCATTCGAGAACGAGATGTGTCGTGGCTGCTGTGGCTCAGTTGGTTGGAGCGCTGTCCTGTGCGCCAAAGGGTCATGGATTTGATTCCCAGTCAGGGCACATACCCAGGTTGCGGCCCATACGGGAGGAAACTGATCGATGTTTCTCACATCGATTTTTCTCTCCCTTTCTCTCTATCTCCCTTCCTCTCTCTGGAATCAATGGGAAAAAAAAGAACAAGATGTTTGTCATTAGGTAGTTTTGTTTCCCTGCATCAAGTAAAGGAAACGGGATTCACCTCCAAAGCTCTGTCTCCTGTCTGGGAGGCTTAGCCATTACTTACATAGAATATCCCAATAAATGTATCCATACACTTTGAATAACTATGAAGTAGTGTTTATTAAAATATATTTCACTTTCAAAATTGAACTATCACCTTTTAAAGTGCATATACATTTTTTGTGGACACCGTTTATACGTTATTTGGCTAATTACATATTAATTTCTTCTTTGCAGTTGACTCCACTTAGGCAGTTTTTTACATCTGCCTGGGCAAAATACTGTGCTACATTTTACCATTCAGCAAGAACAGCATTTAGTCAGAACGACCCAGACCTTGAGATCCTAGCCCTATCTAACAGTATCTCACTGTATTTTAAAATTGCATTTCCCTGATGACTAGCAATGTTGAGCAACTTTCCATGTGCTTATTGGTCATTTATTTTCTTTCATGATGTGTCTATTCAAATCTTTTGACCATTTTTAACTGAGGGTGTTTTGTTTTGTTTTTGTCTCTTTCATTATTGGGTAGTAAGAGTTCTCTACATATATTCTGGATACAGTCCTTTGTCAGATTTAAGTATCGAGAATGTTTTCTCCCAGTCTGTGGCATGTTTTTTCATTTTTACAATGATATCTTTTAAAGACCAAATAAATGTCTTTAAATTTGATGAAGTCCAATTTATAATTTTTTAAATAGTTCAGGATTTTTGTGTATCTTATATTTCTTTTCTAAGAAATTCCTGTCTATTCTAACATTAAAAGAATTTTCTGTTTTGTTTTCTTCTGTAAGTTTTACAAGTGGAGTTTTTATGTTTAGGTCTATGATCCATTTTGGTGCAGAGTGTGAGGTAAGCGTCATGGTCCATGTTTTCCATATCTGGCTGTTCCAGCAATGTTTGTTGAAAAGAAATATTCTTCCCTTTTCAAATTACCTTGGGTGTTTATTGAAAATCAATGATCAAATATATGTAGGTCTATTTCTGGACTTTCTGTTATGTTCAATTGATCTCTCTATATATACTTATGCCAATATCATATTGTCTTCATTACTGCAGTTTTACAGTAAGTCTTGAAATCAGATACTGTGAATGCTTCAACTTTTTCTATTTTCAAAATTGTTTTAGCTATTCTAGTTCCTTTGCATTTTCATAAAAATTTTAGAATCAGCTTGTCAATTTCTACCAAAAAGAAAGTGCTGGGATTTTGACTGGGATTGCATTGAATCTATAAATCAATTTGGAGACAAATGACATGGTATAATGTCTTCTTCAAATGTTTACTAGCGTTCACCAGAGAAGCCTTCAGGCCTGTAGTTTTCTTTGTGGGGGTTTTAAAGGAGAATTTAGTTTATATACTAAATATAGCACTATTTAGATTTTTTACTTCCATCTGTGTCAGCTTTCATAATATGTCATTTACAGGATTTGTCCATTGCATATAAGTTATCAAATGTAATGCTGTTTTCCTATTACTCTTTTAACAAAATTGAGATATAAATTATATCAATAATATCCACCTTTTAGAGTGTACAATTCAATAGTTTTTAGCATATTCACAAGGTTGTGGAACCATCACTACTATCTAATTCCTGAACATTTTATTCACCCCCAAAAGAAATCCTGTACCCATTAGCAATAGTGACACTATCCACTCTTCCTTCTTTCCAGACCCTGGCAACTACTAATCTTCTATTATCTTTCAATGTCTGTAGGATCTGTAGTGATGGGCTGATCTATTTTTGGGGAGCTCTGTTTCCACAGGGATCCAGTTCTAATGCAGGAATCCAGAGTTGCAGTCACATTACAATCTGGGCCTCTGAAGAGATGGAAGAAGAGAGAATTTTCCTGAAGTCTGGAAAATTATCATTGCCTAGTAGTACTTTTCAAACAGTGGATGTGTGCCTACTTATTGAAAGTTCTTGATTACTTCAGCCTAAAGGAAAGTTGAAGTTCTTGGGCCAGATATCTGGGGTCATAAACTACTTATAGCCTGTTATTTAAAAAACTTAAAAAAAAGTGATATGCTATGACAAAGTTTGGGAAGCACTGGCCTAGAGTACCAAGTCCAAACTAATCAGGATTATATTCAAGGACTTTCCCTCATTTTGCCCCAAACTGTTTCCTGTAATTGTCTTCTTCACCCTTCCTTCTCTCCAATCTTATTCTTACTCCCATAAATATCCTAGACTTTAGGCAGCATAAAGTGCTTTCACTCAAGAATCCCTGCAATTGTCTACCTTTGAGATGCCCCCTGCCAAATACCACTAACGCTTCTAGATTCTACTCAAATGCATTTGGGAAACACTCTAGAAAGACAGGGACCAAGTCAATCCTCCCCTTCACTAAGCAATAGCTGAACTGAATGCTGGCTAAGGACCCAGTACTGACAGGCTCACAGAATACAAATCTCTTTTTTGTATTTTTGAAATTGTTTTATGAGGAGGGCAAGAAAGGGATTATCATCATTTTGTAGATCAAAGAACATTCATGCAGCAAATAATAATGACCTACTAAATTCATACATGGAAGTCGCATACAGAGCTGTAACAAGACCCCTAACCCTAACCCTAACAGCATGCAATGTGCTATCCTAGTGTTTTAAAAGAAGACAGGAACCAAAGCTTTTACTCTAAACTAAGTCTATTTTTTAAAAGATTTTGGAAAACATTTTCTCAGTCCTATTGAGGTATGCATGTCATATAAAAGTATAAAATATTTAAAGTGTATATCGTGGTGATTTCAGAATATATATATATTCTGAATATACCCATTAGCAATAGTGACACTATCCACTCTTCCTTCTTTCCAGACCCTGGCAACTACTAATCTTCTATTATCTTTCAATGTCTGTAGGATCTGTAGTGATGGGCTGATCTATTTTTGGGGAGCTCTGGGGATATATATATATCTGGGGATATATATATATCCTCTTAAACTGCGAAAATTTCCTAGCAGTGGTCTATACCAACTTGCATTAACTTTAGGATGTAAGACTGATTCCAGGCTGGAGATCAGGGGTGAAGATATGAGTGAATTCTGAAAGTCTAGACTGGGAAACGCATTCCACAGAGAAAGGGAGGTGGCCCACTAGGGCTCTGGATGCCTGGAAGCCTTCTTTGAAGCTTTATAATCTGGTGTTAGCCCCTTAGCTGAGTCAGCGTTGTCTGTGTGTGTGGAGGTAGGTGTTGACCACTTCAGGCAACCAAAGCACCAGGACCTTTTCATCTTAGAAGTAAAAGCCACCTAATCCTTTCGTTTCTAGGCACCCTGCCTACCTGTGTCTGCATGAACGGAACAGCTGAAGAAATAGAGGTTGAAACTCAGTATTTAGATGATTTTTCTATCTCGAGGCACCCTGACTCTGTGACACAGGGCCCTCTGGGGCCCTACTTTCCCAAGGTCTCCGTTTCTGCCAAGACTTCAGAGCAAAAGTTTGTAGTCTTGAGGAGCTATGCCTTCCTTGAGGAAAAGTCAAGTATCTCCCAGGTTCAACACAGGTGACTTTCTAAATAAAGCTCCATGATTGAAGCAACCGTTTCTGATCTTAACTCTTCTCTGAGCAAAAAAATATTACATTGCATCACTGAAAAATACTATCAAGTTCAACAGTTTAACATCTAGAATGCATAGCCTTCTATGAAGCCCCTGTACCCATCTACTAAACTTAGAAATGTGGCATTTTATTTTTAGAATCTTCCACTTTACTATACTTCAAACTGAAATGAGCTTTTCATAAACAAGAATGTAACATGATCTACTAATCTGAATAAATCAATTCCAACCAAATCCAAACCTATGTGCTTTCTAAAGCTATCAATGTCGAGTCCAATTAGAACAGAAACTTACTCTGAAAGGAGTATAAGTAGAGATTTCATTCGTAAGTAGTCTTGGTTTATTGCTCCAAGTTTCATCATGAATGTTATCTATGTTACTTCAGATGCACCCATGTGTTGTAAGCTTCCTGAAGGCAGAGACAGAAAAGATGCATGGTATGGTGGAAAATAAGCAGGATTTCAAATCTGAAGACGTGGGTTCAAACTCCATGAATCACTTACGCTGTGTGACCCTAATGAGTCACCTGACCTCTGTGAGTCTGAGTTTCTTTATCTGTAAAATGGAACAAATTCCACCTACCTCACATGATTATAGACAGGAACAAGTTATTTCTGTCATGATACCTTATACAGGCAATGTGTATTTTATTTAGTTGTGGTCATGTTTTAACTTTACCACTAGAATAGAAGTTCTTTTAATCTAAGGACTGGCTCATACTGCTGCTTTGCCTCCTGGAGATGTTCAAAAGTAAAACTCCTACTTTTATAGGTTTTTTAAAAAAATTTTTTTTTTATTGATTTCAGAGCGGAAGGGAGGGAGAAACAGAAACACCAACAATGAGAGAGAATCATTGATTGACTGCCTCCTGCATGCCCCCTACTGGGGATCAAGTCCACAACTGGGGCATGTGCCCTTGACCAGAATCAAACCCAGGACCCTTTAGTCCTCAGGCTGACGCTCTAACCACTGAGCAGAACTGGCTAGGGCTATAGGGTTTTTTGATGCTTTAATCTGAGGGGTGACCAATAACAGAATTTCATACAAAGTCAGTGTAGAGATAAAAAGGTTTTGGGGAAGACAAAACAAACATGTATCCCTGGGTAGACTCCCTATCAGCCTTGACTCAAGAACAGTGATGGTCGGACAAGTTCTGAGCCGAGGTCCTCCTCAGCTAAGGGAGACTCATCACTATTAATATCTGGATTTCTATTAACACTCTCTTTTCACTGCGCGCTAATTTAAATCTGTTCTCTAAGCTGTTCTTAACCACATAGTCTTGGGCCTGGGCCTGGTTCCCAATTATAGGTCTTAACTCCCCATTTTGGTTTTTGTATTTGCAGAAATAATAGGAATGTTGCCCCTGTTAATTCTAGGGGAGAGAGGGCTGTAGTAGAGTTTCAGGTGGGGCAATTCTTTGTTATGCAGGACTGTCCATACATTGTTTGAGATTAATATGCCTATCCCCTGCCCTCTGATTCCTTTAGTGCTCCCAAATCATTGTGACAACTTAACCACCCCCCCAACACATACACACACACATTTCCAAACCCAGGAGGGCGGGCAGTATTGCCACTGGTTGAAAGCCAATGTAACCTGTCTCTCTCTGCCACCTTGATTCCATGTCTGCCACAAGGTACATCATTATATAAGACTAGTGGCCCGGTGCAAGAATCCGTGCACATTGAAAGGAAATTAATTAGAAGAAATATTTTAATATCATTATTTGCCCTTTCTCTATAATAGAAGTGTCAACCAAATTCATGATCGACAATGACAGATCGAAACACATGCGTACAATTGGTGCCAGTGAGAGCTTTATATGTATCGTGCATGCATGAGTCATCTTAGCCTTTTATATACATAGAATTAAACTTTTTAAATCTCTGTTTTCTGGCTAATGAAAGAAAAATAGGATTCGACCAAGTCTCCTATCTACCTACTCCAGGACTTTGTGAGGATGAAATGAGATGAGGCCTGGGAAAATGCTTCACAGACATTTGGTTAAAGTGTAAAATGTTTCCACCTGGCTATAAAGCAAGGCATGTTCCTGGGCTGAAGAAACTGCAAGGCTAGTCGCTAGGGAGAGGAAGCCGGGTGTTGCTATGTGACATCATTACCCAGCGCCCACAGCCACTGTTTCTGGGCTGGGCTGGGCTGTGGGCCGCATTTTGTGCCATGGGGTCTCGGCAGCATCGGATGTGATTTGGTGGGGTGTTGCTCTGGAGTAGTGTCCCACCTGGGAGAAGCTGAGTGTTGCTTTGTCAGCACCAGATCCACAGTGCTGTTTTTTTTGTAAATGGCCAGTGTGCATCACGGCAGCTCCTGCGTTGAGTGTCTACGCCCTGGTGGTCAGTGGGTGTCATAGTGAGTCGGATGGTTGAACACTTAGCATATTAGCCTTTTATATATATACACACTAGAGGCCCAGTGCACGACATTTGTGCACTGGAGGGAGGGGGTCCCTCAGCCTGTCTGTGCCCTCTTGCAGTCTGGGACACCTCAGGGGATGTCCACCTGCCTGCTTAGGGAAGCAGGTCTAAGCCGGCAGGCAGACATCCCCTGAGGAGTCCAGAGCACTACTGTGGAGGCCAGAGAGGCTCCCGCCACTGCCTTGCACTTGCCAGCCATGATCCTGGCTTCTGGCTGAGCAGTGCTCCCCTTATGGGAGTGCACTGACCACCAGGGGGCAGCTCCTGTGTTGAGCATCTGCCCTCTGATGGTCAGTGCATGTCATAGTGACTGGTTGTTCTGCCGTTTGGTCAATTTGCATATTAGCCTTTTATTATACAGGATTATATAGGATGCCCTGAACCAAACGAATGCTCCCTAGTGTTCACTGCATGCTCTGAGCCAGGCTGGTCTGTGAAGAGAAAGAGGGATGTGGAAAGGAAGAAGGATGTGGAAGGGGAGGGAGTTGGGGAGGAAGAGGAAGAGAAGGAGGAGGAGGAGGAAACAGCATGGATTATTTCCCTGTAAGTCTTCAAAACGAAAGTATGAGGAAAGCAAGAGGGAGATAATTTTGAAGTTTCTCTATGCTGCGTGGTGTTTACTGTAAGAATAACTAAATACATTTACTCCCTGCCAGGCATTGAACTAATAAGCATTTGGCATATATTAACTCTTCCCACCTTATAAGTAGTTACTATTATTATCCCATTTTAAAGATGAAGAAAATGGGGCACGAAGCAGCTAAGTAACTTAACTGTAGGTGTAAAGCTATGAAGTGGCAAAGCAAGGACTTCTGACTCTGTCTCTGAGTGCTTCTGGATAACCAAGGCTTCCTCTCTTAAACCCCAGCCTGCCTTACACCTCTCAGCTAGGAGCTTCTGCAACTTTCCCAGTCTGAAGTATTAAGATGCTCCATGAGGGTGGTAAAAGCAGGAACTGAAAATAAGTCATTGTGTAATATATTATTTTTTGTTGACTCTTAGAATTAGAGAATCTCTGAGTGGTGATCTGTCAGAAAACCTGGGCTCAATGCTCAGCCTGCTATTGATTATGTGATCCCAGGAGAGTTCCACGACCTCTGTAAGACTCATGATGAGAGTACCACCTGCTCTAAAGCTGTCGTGTGAGGCGCAGAGATGTACAAGCTTTAGTGTACTGGCTTCGGGACCAGTTTGAAGATTTTCTTTTTTAGTCCTTCAAATGGTTTGGATCAATGCAGCTGCAAACAAAGTGTTACCTATTACAGTAAAGCAGATAGTCAAGGATTCTGGATCAGAGTCCTAGATGGCTGGGAATATTAATAGCTCTACACTCCTGCTTTACATGTGAGTCCTATTAGAGCGCCCCATGTGATTCCTGTCTGACTCAGGCTCCATGAATGCTTCCTGTACTTCCCTGCCCTGGCTTTGTGCTTCTATGGATGAGTTAGGGCACCTGAGACTCACCAGCTACGGGGTAATCCTGTTAGGAACAGAACAAGAACTCGCTGGTATTCCCCCATCCTGGATCACTGTGGATCCTGAGCGAGGCTCACGGCCTCCCTATGATTCAGGCTCCCCACCACCCAAAGAGGATGATTCATTTGTTCAGGGTACACCATGGAGTCCTGCCAAATGCAAATAGATGGTCCGTGGGGCACCGTGCCAATGATGCTGGGAGCAGGCTCATTACTGCCACAGACACTGCGACAAATAACAACAAAAGCCCCGAGGTGCAAATTACCACACATAATAAACTTAATTCAAGAAAAACCGAAGAGATCCTTAGTTGCATTTTAATTTACACAGCACTGTTTATCACACAAGTGCCCCGGGGCCTCTACAAACTAAGACATCAGTACAGATTAGTTTCTGCGATGCCTCAACGATCTGACCAACTGAAATCCACCTACCACGTAAAGTGTGACGAGAACACTGGGAAGACTGCAGAGAGGGTAATCGAAAAGAACTCACAGTCCGGAAAACATGAGAGCATCCTGTGTTTTATTCCTAATGGGATTTATGCCTTAGCCTCTGGACTTAGAAGCATCAAGTCCTATGTAAAAGCACAAAGCCAGGAGCGGAAGTACAGGAAGCATTCACAGAGGGCCTGAGTCAGACAGGAATCACATGAGGTGCTTTACATAGGACTTACATGTAAAGCAGAAGTGGCTATTAATACTCCCAACCGCCCGAGGCAAAACCACTGGGATGGGACTTGCAAGCCTCTTCTCCAAAGTAATCTGCAGAGTTACAACAAGGACAAAACACCAGATGTAGAGACAAATAATAGTCCAGTGGGCCAGGACTGTGTTGAATTCTTTACTCATCTACACTGTCTGCTTTTCAAGACTCACAATGACCTCAGAAGTAGATGCTATTATCTTCACTTTGTAGATGAACAAACTGAGGTGCTTAACGTGACTGAGCATCTTGCCTGAAGTCAGTCACCTCGATCTTCTAGCTATGTGAGACCTGAGTCAAATCCCCCAACTTAGTGGGTTCTAGAATCCTAAGAGTGGAGATAAAACTAGTCCTCCCTGCCATTCATGAATGTTACAAGGACTACATGTAATACAGAATAACGTGTAAAGTACGTGTGAAAGTATCCTATCTTCTCCTGGCTACACTGCAATCCTGGTGGACAGACCATGTCACCTGATCTTTTTTAATCCCTACAAGTAAGACTTTATTGCATATGCTGTATGATTGTGCTTTTGCAATCATTATAAATATATATTAATATGAATATAATAATAATGATTAGGTATTCATCATTACAGGTGAAGAGAAACGTGTAGTCATCTTTTCAGCTTATTTACTGAGCACCCACCTATGTGCCTCTCTTCCTTTCCCTTCCTCTCTCTTAAATAAAAACATTTTTTAAAAAATGCTCAAGATGGTAAATTTTATGTTATGTGTATTTTACTATAATTTTTAAAAAGAAATGTTCCCCCAAATAAAAATAAGGTAACATATATAAATCATCTAGCAAAAAAACATGGCAATGAACCTAGTTCTTTCCCTTACCCCCTACAATCCTTTATTTCAAGGTTCTTTTCAAGTTACCTAAGGAGTTTAGCCCCAGCTAGGTTCCCCAGCTCTGCCATTAAATTCAGCTGTGCATCCCAAGGTGAATTCCTTCCCTCACTGGACTTTGATTTTGTTAACCTTTTTTTTTTTTAAAGGAGGGAAAAAAAAAGGATTAAACTACATTCCATTCCCTTTCAGCTCTAAAAGTATGAACACATTTAAGGTTAAATACATAAGAATAGGCTAGCAGAAAGGAAACATTTTTGAGCATTTATTATGTGTAAAACATTGTGCCAGGGGCTGGGGATTCACAAATATAAATATACAAAAGGGAGGTGATCATTCCTGATTTGAGGGGAAATACACAGAAATCACAACTTGTGTGTAGATTACAGGAGAGAGTGCTTGGGGCAATCTAGGAAAAAATATGCCAAAGAGGTGATAATTGAGGGGGTCCTGCTTTTTGAGGGGGGGATGTGAGGGAATAGGAGTTAATCAGATAGAACAGAGGCAGAAGGACCGACAGGTGCTGAGCACCATGTGGGGGGGATGAACACCTGGTCAGGCCCAGGTCAGAGGAGAGGCTGAGGCCTGTCTGGAAAAGCAGTTCCGGAATTCAGTGCTAAATGCCCAAAAAGCTGGAGAAAGGAGCTTGGGTTTTATCTGTGACAGTTGACACAGGAGAGAGAGAGAGAGAGGATCCAACGTGCATGGCAGAAACATCACTTTGGCAACAGTGCACGAGAGGCCAGATGAAGGGGAACAGGAAGCTATTGCCAGGGCCCAGACAAAACAGGATGAGGCCTGCAGAAGGCAGTGGCCGTGGGGAAGGAGAGGAAAGGAGCTCTGTTTGCCTCATGTAGCTCTGTAGATAAAGCATGAATGGCGCATTAACTCCAGAGGCGGGCTCTTACACACTGGGACCTCTAAACAATTTCTGACTAAATCTGACTGTCCCCAGGTCCAGGGCAATCACTCAAAGGGAGGAAACTGGCATAAAGGTTAATCTGTTTCAGCTGCTAGGCTCCCCCCACCTCTTCTTGCCAGAAATAATGGCAGGCAGCGCTGGAAAAAGGAGCATCTGGCTGCAGCGAAGACCCATCCCTTCCCGGGCTGGGGCTGTTGGCTCATCCTTGGGAGTCACAACAATGGAGAATGGAGAATCGTTCTTTTCATCCTTCTCACAGCATTATCCCCTCGACCTCATCCCCTAACAATGGCGTGGTTATGTTTTCCCTCCATCGCGGCCCCTCCCCACTGTGCACAAGGCAGATGCTATGCCCAGAGGTCGTGGAGGTGGACAGCCCCACCACCCCTACCAAGCCTTCGAGGGGCAGGATGCTCCTGCAGGAGAGGCATGAAGAAGCAAGTGAAAAGACCAAATGTTAAGTAACAGGAACGGGGAAGACCATTTCCCCTCCTTTATTAAACTAGAAAAAAAATTTTTTTCATTGACGTTTCCCAGGGGTGCTAAATGTGTGATTAAACAGGCACCCTTGTCCATAGCTCAAAGTTACTTGTTGGTATGATGCCTTTGGAAAACAACTTGGCAGCATTCGAGAGCCTTAAATGTTCACCCCTTTTTATCCAAAAATTCTCATGTCTAGAAACCGACTAAAGGAACGATTTGGAGGGAAGAAAACGATACACGCACAAAGATCGCTATTATAGCACCAGAAGGCAAAGAAAGCGGTGAAGCTTCAGTACTCAGGGTTTTTTCTTCCTGTCTTGCCCTCCCGGCCACGGAAGTTGATCTCCGCGGCTCTGGACTGCTCCAGGTGTAATGACAGACACTGGGCCCTCACCTGTGTACACAGATCTGCTGGAAGAAAATATACTGTATGACTAACCACACTTACCAATGAGTGACACTGGAGGTCTTCTATCCATTTTACAGGATAGCAGATTATTATTTTAAAAAATTAAAAGAATGAACTCATATACCCATTCAGTATTCCACCGTGTATCAGGCACCATGCTAGGGGCATAAACAACACAGACAAGGCCTTGATCTCAGAGCAAAGATGTCAACAAGGAATAAACAATTACAACATAGCATGATAAATATTGGCATACAGGGAAATATGGTGGGCTAGGGGGATGAATTATCCTTATTGAAAGGGTCAGAAAAAGCCAGTGGAAAGAAGTTAAGGAATTTGGACTCCATCCTAAGAACAACAGAAAACACTAGAATTTTTTTTTTTAAGGGGAGTGGTATGTCTGGACTGTGTTCTGGAAAGATCACTCTGGCTGCCATGTGTAAAGCTGGAGACGAGCAAATCTAGGAATAGGCACGTCCCAGTGAGAAATGACTGTGGCTTAGACTGCAGTGAGGCAATGGAAAGAAAAGGTAATGCAAAAGGGATATTTAATAGCTAGAATCAACTTCTTAGTGATTGCTCAGTGACAGAGAAGAATGACTTCTAAGCATCTGGCTTGAGCAAACTGTGACATCTACTGGTTTCCTGGAGCAGATGATTCTGAGCTCTTTTTTTTTTTTTAAATCCTCACCTGAGGATATTTTTCCCTATTTATTTATTTATTTATTTATTTATTTATTTATTTAGTAGAGAGAATGGAAGGGAGGGACAGGGAGAGGGAGGAAAGAAAAAAGAGAGAGGGAGAGTGAGAGAGAAACATTGATGACCAAAGGGTTGGTCTCTACCCACAGGTGTGCCTCTAATCTCTGACAGCACATACCACCACCAGAGAATTGGACAGAGGATAAATATTCAGATAAAACATTAGGAATAGGTAGCATTAAATGTTTTATATCCATTCAGACAGGATTAAGTATAGTAGAGCAGAGGAGAGACAGAGGAAAGGGAATGTATAATGGTTAGAAAAAGAGAGGGCTGGAGGGAAAGCAATGACCAGCCTTTGTGAGGCTGGGAAAGATAAGGACATGCTAATGTAATAGCCTCCCACATTGGTGAGGGGAGGGGCACACTCCAGAGGTCAGATGATGTGGTAGGCACTGTGCTACGGGATTTAGCTGTAGTCTCTTTGTACTGACTATAATCCTATGAGGTAGGAATCCTTAGTCCCGGTTTACAGATAGTGTAGCTGAGGCTCAGGGAAGTAGAATAAGTGTGTCAAAGTCTTATGACCCTCAGGTATTTCCAAAGAATTATGTCTCTTGATAAACTTCCTGAGAAGGATGGTTACTTTCATTTATGGCCATGGCCAGTTAACTCAGTCATCAATTTTACAGTGATGTGCTGGAGTCAGTGTCTATCAGCTCATAACAGATTATTACATTTTCAGGAGTTTTGCAATCCAGATGACCTCATCCTAGTGGTCTGAAATCAGCTATGATTGCAGAATTTACATCATGGAAACTGGCAAAGGCTGCAAATTAGGGCATCATCCTTCTCCTTCTCCTTCTCTTTCTTCCTCCTCCTCCTCCTCCTCCTCCTCTTCCTCCTTCTCCTCCTGTTTCTTCCTCCTCCTCCCTCCTCTTCTTCCTCCTCCTCCTCCCCCTCCCCTCTCCTCCCCTTCTCCTCCTTCTCCTCTCTTCTGAGAACCTGTTGTTAAATGTTTACTAGCACACTGCTACTTGAGAACCTTGGAACTATGAAAGGAAGTGACTTTCATTTCATTGCCAAGTGCCATCCAAGTCCCACCTATTGGTTCTAGTTGCTTGGAAGACTATGCTGAGAAGGCTTCTGAAGCTTCATTTGTCATTATCATAAAAATATACTCAAAATGTGAAGTGATGTCTGTCCTGGGAAGGGAGGGAGAATGGCTGCAGCCATGCCATGTACCTGCTGTCCCTGACCCAGGCTAACGCTCTGATTTTAGAGATGAAGAGAGAAACCCAGAGAAGGTAGGTGATTTGCCTGAAGCCACAGAGTGAATCAGTGGCAGAGCTGAGGCTACAAGTCGAATAATCTGACTTCTGGTCGAGTGACCCTCCCAGGGCAGCACCGAGACCAGGGAACTGAGAGTCTCTTGACTTAGCCAGCATCTTTATTTACAGTATCGAGCAACGTCGTAGTGACAGTGATCACTGGGGAGGAATGCTGCAGAGCGCATACAGACATAGTGAGGCAGGCCCTGGACTGACCTTCTGGCTCTTTCCTCCCTGGAAATTTATAATGCTAGGCTTCCAAGAACTCTATCTATGCTCATATGTGCCTTCTTCCTGACCACAGAAACTACTACCAACCCAAAGTGTGCGATTTCTAAGAACCTTAGGTGACTTAGCAACACCCTGACAACCACCACACTGTCAGCAGTCAAGAGATAGAGAGATTATCTTGCAGGGTGATTTGACCAGAAAGCATGAAATGAATGATACCTGAAATAAAATTCACAATAGCCTATTCCTATGAACTTTAGTGGTAAATTATCCCCAAACCATTTTTTGTTCCTTTTTTCTGAGCACTGTATTTTT